GATCAATTGTTTTGACCGAATTGATAGTATTTTAACTTATTTATTAATATTTAACACAAAAATAGGTGTGAACCTATTATAGCCATTTATTCGGTCACTGTGCTTGACCGAATAAATGGCTATTTTCACATTCGGTCAAGACACTTGACCGATTTGTGTTAGGCGATAATTGGCGCCAAATTAATTTGGTCAATTGTCTTGACCGAAATAAATGGAAACCAAATTGTATGAGCTTTCTCATTTGTTTTGGTCAAACTTGATTTTCGATCAATAAATTTGCTTGACTAAAATACTCTGACCGAAATAGTCAACTTTATAGTATTGTTGGTTTTATTTTATTTTATATTAGAATATTGAAGAAGTTAATTTTTTTAACAATATAAGGGTTTAAATTCTTAATCATAATCTCAAATCAAGGCTTTTTAAAATTTATTAACAATTACTTGGCAACATAAAGTTTAAATTTTTTACATTAATATCAAATTAAAGTTTTTTAAAATTAATAATTATCAGCTCAATTATACTCTTGTTGATTTAGTGAATGGTTTCTTGTATATATAATCAATGAAAATGCTAAATGCAATGTATGCAATCTGCCTACATGAACCGCACTATCAAGACCCTCGCTCCTTCCATTCATGGTGATAATCAATAATATGATGTCTTCTTAATTTCTGTTTGTTTTCTCTGTCACCATTTTTGAATTAACGCATTTGTGTTTCCATTTATTATGTTTGCTTTATCTCCTACCCTCTCTGGATCTTAAGAACTTGTAGAACAATATGGCGTGGCTGCTCAAAGCAATTATTGAGTACAGCTTCTCAAGCATGGATAAATAAATCTATTCCATCATAGATTTATTTTGTAATGAAATTGTTATGTGAATTTATTTGTTTATTTATTTTGAACATGGGAAATTTTTAGGGGAAAGGAGAATATTTGCAAGTTCTAAGACTGCTAGCTTGGAGTAGAAAGAACAACCAAAATTGAGGAACCATTTGGCTCACTGAGGGTGGTTCGAATTAATTTACTTGGTTAAGAAATGGTACCCACTGTTACAAGTTCGATTCTATATGGTCAGGATTGTAACTGGAACCTTGTTATTAGTACTTTTTTTTTTTTCATAGATATTTATTAGGTTGAGGTTATTGATCCCAAAATGTTGGTTAAGGCTATCAATTTAACTATAATTTTATTAATTTATTATTTTTTTCTTATACAATTAGTTATGATATTTAAAAAATATGTAGTTGTAAATTTATTTCCATCTATTTATAATAAATATTAATTATTTTTATTCATTATTTATTATTTTTAATAATTGAATTAAATAAAATTTTAATGATTTTTTTATAACCTTAACAAAAGTTACGGTGGCCATGTTATTAGTAATTTTTTTTTAAAATTTTGGTTATACGATAAGAAACAATTATTATTTTTTTTTTTTATCTCACCCTACTCACATTTCATGCAACTCGAATTTAGATTCTCTTACTTTCAAACGGAAGGAGATAATCTCATGTTAAAAGTACTTCTTGATCTTGAAGGTTCAATTTAATACTATAATGCATAAAAACTGGTCGTTCACAGTAATAAAGCAAATTTCGAAAGATAAAATTTGCGTTACATGTAATATCAAGTCTAAACTGGAATGGGAATCAAATCCCGCAAAATTACATTTAACTAATTTTTAACAGAAATTTCAACTTTGAGGCTTAACTCTTTCAAAGTCCTACAAAAATAAGCTTAAAGACAACTTAGTTTGCCACCAAACTAATGAATATCCATGAGATGACCATCAAAAATCGAAAATTTCCCTTTTTACATTTCTCATGCATGAAATGAAACAAGTTATATCGAAAAATCAATTTTGAGTGATTGCAGAAGCATGACTCCTGAAAATTAGAGTTATGTAAAATTTAACATTTTACCTCACTGTACAATTCTGAAAATCAGCCCCTCCTCAGTGGTCAATTCTAGTTGACCTTTTCTTGATAGACCTTGAGAACGGACCAGGCTGCGAAACTTCAGGTAACTCTGTATGCTCAAGATCAAATTTTCTCTATGAACGAGCAGAGCCCTCACCAACGGCTGCAACAGCTTCTGTAGAGATGTTGCTTGCCATTTTATCTTCTGTCTGGACATCTGCATCCAGAGGTCCCTTGATGGTGACTGAAGGGTTCTCATTGCTAGGATTATCAGGCATAAGCCACGCAAACTTTAGATTGTTACCATCCCAGCAATTACCATTCACAAATGCCCTCTCGGCTTCGCGGCATGTTGAAAAACTTACATGAACAGAACAATTCTTCAGTGTCTCTGACCCATTATCACCATCAGGGGCCTCCACATCTTCTAGCTCGACAGCAGAAAGATCACCATATTGTGAAAAATGCTCCTTCAGAACAGTAACCTAATAGACAAAGATTTCTGTTACAACCTGATTACAAATATAGATACAAAACCCAACTGACATTAAGGTGTTTAGTGAGTGCCATAAAATATGCATAAAAGGTGAATGATACACTAGTCGAAATTTGGGTAAGTCAGGCACACATCCCAACCCCAACCACGGGCAAGAGAAAGGGAGCGCACTTACAAACAAGTCTAAATATGCTTAAGGGATCAAAATAATTAAATGATTGTCTGGAACCATTTTGAAACAACCACTCATGATGGGCAAATTTGATGCGATCTGTGTTTCTCATGAGGAGCATTGAGTCTTCTTTTCTATGCACTTCCCTTTCACGAAGACTAAGACTTTTTAGAAGCTCATTCGAAACAAACTGATAAAAAGTAGAAGACTTCTGCCAGAACATCCAATAGCACACAACTACACACTCCAATGACATACGAAAATGCATCCTCATAACAAACGGCATAAACATTAAACAGTAACATAAAGACAGTTGCAGCAGGAGAAGAAAAACTAAATAGGGCAGGAGAGGGAGAGAGAGACTTACATTTAGAAAACCAATGGGTAATGGTGGCAGAACTCTAAATGCAGTAGGTTGGTTGTCAAATGTGTATCTGTTCATCGTCAACGGAGCCCTTCCAGGTGTTAATTGACAGTCCTGTGGCACCACAGCTATGTTTAATTTGGGGCTGGAACAGACAACATGCTCAGATGATTTATTCTTATCAGGCACTGCCTCAGCACCAAGATCTGAGGAATTTGCAGTTGCAGATTTTGCAGAATCAGCTGCTATTCCCACTTTGTGTCTCTTTGCAGCTTGCTCAGCCAATGGCTCACTCTTGACTCCAGTAGCCTGCAAAAGTTTGAAATTAGAGCATGAATTAAACGAAAATAAGAGAAGGAAAATCAATACATACGTACTATTTTACCACATTCAAGCACTATTTTTATTCTGCTCTCCTACTATACATATAACTTCATAATACACTATGTTAAAAAATGCATATATCCTATTCTTAAGCTCCAATTATCACTAAAGTAGTTTTTTTGCTCCTACAACATTTATAGTTAATACAAGTGCTACACTATTTTATTATACCACAGGCACATGGACATTCACCTACCATGAAAATAGTAACAATATCAATCAAATTATGGACCTTGTGCATGTCTATGATCATCAAACATATATTAGGAAAAGAAAAAGATGACAAGGACACTTGGTATTACTTGTTTCACAATTGCAAGCTTGTCCAACTGGCGCCGGAAATCCTTGCGCTTCTGGTCCAGCAGCTCCTGCTTTTTCCGTAGCTCGTCCTTCAACTGCTCTAGCATCTCTAGCTTTTTTTGTGATGGAGGGGGGACCTTGGGACCATTTGTGTTGATAGGCAGAGGTGATTCAGAAGCAGTGACATTAGCACCTTGGAGGGCATTACTCTTCTGAGCAACAGGTAGAAGGTTATCCTTCCCTCTATTAGCAACTGACGACTGAGACGTAATTGATGCAGCTGTTGTCCCATGTGGAGTTACAGGTACAGTATTGCCACTTCCTGTGCTGTCATCAGGAATGCTGTCACGATTTGCCCACCAGAGCCTAATAAAGCGATTTCCCATAACAGCATCAGGTGCTTTCAATGCAGCCTCTGCCTCTTCCCTCTTTGAGAATTGGACAAAGGCCCTTGGAGTATTTAATGGGATATAAATGTCAATGACCTCCCCAAACTTACAAAAATGAGAAAGAAGCGCCTCTCTTTTGTTGCTTTCCTTAGGAATCCCATTTACAAATAGTGTGCGTTGTGCCTTCTGAGATGGTTTGCGGGAATTATGTTTACCATCACTCTGTGACTTGAGTGTTGAATCCAGACCTTTGGAGCCATCATCATCAACACTAATCTGCTTTCCCTGACGGGAAATACTTTGAGAGGTAGGCAATAGATCCTGACCATCTTTAGTTTCATTCTCGAAGTAATCTGAGGATGTTGCATCCATTTTTTCCTTTGCATCCAATCTATTTCTCAAGCCACCAATTCTGCCCCAAACAGATGAACTTGGGTTCTGTGAGCCAGAACTCCTCATTAGATCATTATTAGGATTATACCGTGATCTAACATGATGACGCTCAGAGATATCATCATTTAACAAGGTTTCAGTTTCATCTGCCTTGGGTGATCCTAGTGCTTTCAGTGCAGCTGAAGCTTCTGGACCTCTGTCATTCCACAGGGGTTGATCAGGATCATACAAATCAGCACCAGTATAAGCACCATTCAGAGCTAAATCATCATCAGTCATTCCCGACTGGCCGATTTTGCTATGTACTGCCTTGCTGTTCATTGAAGTGGTTGAAGGAGCAACTGAAGGTAGGGGTCCTGGTCCAGCAGGTGTCGCCAATAGTTGTGCACTTGGAAGAGAGACTGGTAGGTTGAACTGTGACAAGCTCTACAAACACATAAAAAAAGGACCTTAATACTCAACCAATGATTGTCTTTTCAAGGTTACAAGGAGTTCCAATGCCCCAGGAAAAAAATTTTCCCCACATACAAAAGTTAATTACATATCAGCACATCCATAGAATATTCTTAATTATCAATGCCTATGTTCAAACTGAAGATAGAATAAGTATATAATATTTTCCAATAGTTTTGCACTTGGACGAGAGACAGGTAGGTTGAACTGTGACAAGTTCTACAAACACATAAAAAAAGGACCTTAATACTCAACCAATGATTGTTTTTTCAACATTATAATGAGTTCCAAAGGCCAAGAAAAAAATGTTCTTGCATACACAATTTAAATAATTATTACACATCAGTGCATCCATAGAATATTCTTAATTATCAATGCCTATGTTCAAACTGAAGATAGAATAAGCAGATAATATTTTCCAATAAGCAATTTTCCCAGCAAGTAGCTAGGATTTCATACCACCTAGTGGCCGATGTCTCTATCAACTTAGTTTGTTAGATGGTTGTCAAAGAAACAAACTTTAGTCCACAAGAACACAAATTTCCTGTTTGCAGCATTGTCATCATCACATCATCCAGGGCCTTCCCATTTAAGTTTGATAATAAGAACCGAGGGGATATAATGCAACCAAAATAGTAGCAGCAGGCCAACTATATCTATATGTGATATTAATGTCCTTTTCTCTGGAAGAGATGGTTCAAAAATGAATGAACAACAAGAAATAAGCACACAATTATACAATAACAAATATCCCCACATCTATAGGTTAGAAGATTAATAACACAACCCAAGTAAGGTGGCTGCAGGCTACATTTAAAAGGTTTCCAAAAGAAATGGGCTGTGTCAGTGAATCTTTAGCATTCTATTAACTGGAACATTTGATTTAAAACCAGAGAAGATGGGTTGGAACAAAAGAGAACTTGGTACACAAATTCAGGTGGCTGGTCCTCACTTGGAAGCATACCGTGACATGTGACTGGACATGTTGTCAATTGAGCAAAGTAAGAAATGTCAAATAATATACTGCAATCACATAAACAAGAAAAATATCCTCAATATAAATACCTGAACATCTTCAACAACAATACGATTGACACCATGCTCCATTGGGCACATGTCTCCTCTTAGACAAAATCCACGCTCCTCAAAGTCTCTACATCGTTGGCGAGGAATGCCAAGATTCAATGATGGCCTAAGCGCTCCTTGTAAACCAATAGAATGAAGTGTATCCAAGCCACCATTTGGTATTGCTGGCATTAATCCAAATGCACCCCATGATGGACTCTGGGCATTTGAAACATTTGGCAATCCTCTTCCTACAAAGAGATTTGGAGCAACAGACCCTGGCTGAATCATTTGTGATGCAATATCAACTGAGTTAAACTTAGAATCACGTTGGGTCCAAGATTCTCTTCCCCTTCCCCTTACAGGACCTGTGTCTCCCATAAATGGATGATTTGCTCTGATTCTTTGGTTAAGATCCAAATGCACACGTGAAAATGATGTTAACCCAGGGCGTCTTCTTTCAGACTTAGCCATTGAATCTTTCTCTTGTGGAGAAAAGTAAAAATTTTTTGAAGTTCCACTTGCTTGAGATTCATTTTCTCGGAAAGGATGTCCATTTTCAAAAGCTTTGTTGCGCTTTCTGTATGGCCTTGAGAAAGGTTGATTCAGAGGATCTCTTTCCATTGACTGAGAGCGTGTCTCCCGCCGACGATGCTTATGGTTGCGATCATCATCATCCTCATCACTGACTTCCTTCTCTTCAGGATCACTAGCACAATCATGGGGAGAAAGACCACCATGCTTAGTGGATGGAACCTTCAGCTCCATTGGATCCTCTAGGAACAAACTAGAAATCAGTGCTCTCTTACTATATGCAAAGTTTCAGACACCCAACAAATGCAGTGTCCAAACAACTTGGGTTGCCTGTAAGAGTTCAGCAGCACTTCAAATAGTGCCTGAGAACAGGGAAAGTAAGAATAATTGCTTACAACTACATTCATTCACTCTAAAACTAAGCACTGCAACAATATCATGCAGCTAATGAAATCAAGGACCAAAAAAAAAAAAGACCTAACCTAGAAAAAAACCAAAATAACCAGCATAAACGTCAAATTTAGCTCGGAACCCACAAATTCTCAAATTATACAACAAAATGCCATGAAACCCAATTAGCTAAAACGAAATTTGAACCAATAAAATAAACAAAAACAATCTAGGTTTCCCCAAAAAATAACAACATAAAAACAAAGGTATTGACGACAATAAAATTATAAAAACATCTTACAGAATCTTCTAGAACAATGGACCTAGAAAATCCTTCCACGCCAACATTTAATTAGAGATTGATTCGGGTCCGGCGGACAACGGAGACGAAGCTAATCGAAACACCGCGGCGGGGCATTTCTAGGAGGGAAGAATTGACCTGGAAGGCAGAGGGGCAGGATCGTGATAAAGTAAAAATCGATGAGGGTTTTGGGAAGCTGGGTTCGTGTAAAAGGGAATTTTTGGAGAGGTTTATGCTGAGTGTGGGGTTTGGGTTCGTCTTTGTGAGGGTTGAACGAAGCTGTGAGGCAGCTGAAGAAAATTGGGATTTTTGATTTTGAGGGAGAGAGGCGATGGATTTGTTGTACTAAAAAACAACAAATAAAAATGGAGGTGCGGACGAAATGAACACTGGGAAATTTCGTTTCCGACCATAGACTTTCATAGATAATTTATCAAATCCCACGAATTTTCTTGCTTTTCATATAACTCCCCGGTGGGGTTGTCCTCAAACCATAAGACTAGGAAAAAAATTATGTAATTTAGATCCTATCAGATTATATAATATTAATTATTAAATAAAAAATAATTTTTTTGTTATTGGGAGTTATCTTCCATCTAATAACCTTATTTTATAGTTTAGATTGCAAAACAAATGACTTTTAAAATTAAAATAAGATTGAGAAAATTTCATACTAGTGAATTAGAAATGCCTCAGCATAATGTCTAGTTTTCCCTTTTTAACGTATCTATTTCCTTAACATATCTAATACTTAACAATTACAATAGGAATACTTATCATTTACTAGATAATTATCATCTCAATTATTTCTAACTTTTAAAGGAAGTTTATAAAATGTTGTACTTTTACTTTTTGAAAACCTTTTGATTAGTTTTGAACCATCAAATTTTCATTTAAAAGTTGAAAAAAAAGAAGAAGTGTGTGACATTAACATTTTAGTTTGTTTTATTTAATTTTTTATCTTGAGTTACACAATTTCATTGAGAGGTAATAATCGCTCATCAATTAATTCATTTCTACTATATATCATGCAACTCAAATTTAAAATTTCTTATTCTTATTGAAAAAAGATTATTATTAAACTGCATATATTGTTAACAATATTCTATTTTTTTTACCTTTTTTGGGTTTGTCTAACTTGTGCCCGTCTAACTTATACCCATCTAACTTATACCCTTAGGACATAGGTTAAAATTCAATAATTAGGGTATTTTTAATTAATTTTATATAAATTTTTATATAAGATTTATAACCTTTTACAAATTTTGAGATAAAAATATTATTGTTTACACTCATTTTTGCAAAAAATATATAATGGTGTCACGTGTCATCCATGTTGATAAGAATTTCATTGGTTGAAAGCAGTTGAAGTAAATCTTTGTAGATAAAGTTGAGTGGTTATTTCCACAACTACAGCAAAGTCATTCGTTTGTTGCGAACTTCCAGGAGGATAATCGGCAACATAAACAGACTAATCTGTTTGTTTCAAATATCACGCTGCCATTGGTTTTTCAAGATTGCTGCTGCAAATCTCCAAGCATGCTGCCAAGGGGTGTTTATTGCTATAAGTATGCAGAGAAGAAACGAAGCGAAGGAGACCAGCCTCTCACACAACTAGCCCAACGCCATCTACATTTTAGTTTTACAAGCAATGTCTTAGTTTAGATCCAGTTTCCTCAAACAGCTTTCCTAATTTAGTCTTTAGCTTTATGCTGCCATTAGTTTCAACTCTGATTTTTGTTATTTCGTTGTGAACATCTCCACTCAATATATTTAGTTTTCTGCAATTCAATTTATTGCACTTTACCCCAAATTCATCTTTCTAGCTTCTTTTAAGTTTAGTTTTATACTTCAGTTTTTATTTCGTTTTCTACGTTTTCTACGTTTTCATACTTTCGCGGCGGTATCACGCTTTCTCTTTGCAATTTAGTTTTCCCGCCATGCACTCTCTTTCTTCTCCTTTCCTTTATTTTCCTCTTTTATTTTGATCAACAAACTAACATTTTGGCCTTAGTTGTGAGAAGTCCCTGAGGTTCTTCTAGGGCAATTATTTATGGACCTTTATACAATAATGCACCCCTGTTTCTGCGACAATCATTTGATTATGGCGCATCTCATAATTTATTTAACCGGTGCTCTTCCATCGACTCGCAGCCGAGTTCTACGCTCGGAAATAGTGAGGGTCACCGGGAATCCCTTTTTCTCACTTTGAGCAAAGTTCTCACTTTGAGCAAAGTTCTCACTTTGAGCAAAGTGAATGGCATACCTTCGCAGTCTTATCTGTCACGCGACTAGAAAGGGAGATTTTAGAGACAACAATTATATTATATTTTTATATATTATATTATATTTTTATATATTATATTATATTTTATTTGAATCTTATATGAAAATTTTATAAATTAGTTATCGATATTATAATAAATGAGGTTTACTCTATGTCCTAATGGTACAAGTTAGAAAAAAAAAAAAAATTTCAACACAGATAATTCTGGCATTTTTTGGGTGAGAGGTGAGTGGAAAAGTCCAACCAAACAACGTATGACAGATTCAGCCAATAAAAGGATTGCAACACAACAACGCATAACACGATCTTGCCTGTCTTCTTATGGAAAACAATTCCAGATCATCACTTTCCTTGATGCCTTACTTTGTCATATTCTTGTGTTCTCGAGCTGGAAAAATTGCAACACAAGATCAATGAGAACGCGGACAAGATTCTATTCTAACAATTTAAGTCAAATTCAAAGCTACTTGACTAACAAGCATCGCAGTTCATCATAGTTTATCCATGAAATATCTAACTTGGAGTCAAAGGGCAGAGTTGCTAAGCTCAATGACACCCTGATGAAAATTATAGCATCTATTCCTAAACAAAATGGTACTTGATAATCCATTTTGAGTTATTGAGAGTATACACAGATGTAAACACAAAGGAGACCTCCAAACAAAGGTAAAAGTAACATATGGAAACATTTAGAAAGGAAGCAGGATGGAGGAAGCCAAAGGTTAAAAAAAAAGAAATGCATGGGCAAACAACCCCCTAATCTCAAACTTCCAACCAGTCTATACATTTGCATGAATCAATGCTACCTTCCAAACCATCCTCTTTGCAGCTGCACTTCACCATCATTCATCAGCTTATCCAGCACCATATTAAGGTCAACAGACTGCCCGCTCTCTGTCAATTTTCGGACAGTTGCCCTAACATGGTCTCTTGGAAATCCCATGCTTGTTACTTTGTCAATCACATCGTCAATGGGAACCCTGTTTCCAGATCTGGGAGAACTTGACCCACTACCAACACCAGAAGCAGTAGGGAGTGCATGTGGTAACACCCTAGCAGTTGGAAGCTGTGGGTAACCACTTCCACCACTTTGTGGCATAGGGAGTGGAGGGATTTGTTGCGCCTTCATTGTAGCACCACTACTGTACTGTGAAGATGTTCCACCATAAGCATATGGTTCTGTAGGCACAGATGGTGGAATAAATCCAGTAGAAAACCCTGAACTGGGTCTGCTTGGTGGTGGATCATACATATGAGGTGGAGCCCCATAATACTGCTGGGCAGGAGCTGATCCACTAGGTTGCTGAGAGGGTGGTTGCCGTAAGTTTGGTGCGTAACCCTGAGAAGGATTGTAAGGAGGCAGAGGCTCTTCAGGATGATGACCTAATGGAGGTTGATGTTGAGGCTGCAGTGGTGCGCCTGGTGGTTGAGAATACTGTGGCTGAGAAGGAGGTTGCGGTGGTTGATGTGGTGGTGCAGCAGGAGGGGGCTGTGGCTGCTGGATGGGAGGCAATTGATATTGTTGATTTGGAGCTTCTTGAGTTTGAACAGGAGGTGGAAAGTAAGAAGGGTCTCGTTGAAGGACAGAAAGAATCTGATTCTGAGGGAATTGGTTTGGATGCTGAGCAGGAGGTGGTAGACTCTGCTGGGGAAGAGCTGGAGGAGGAATAACAGGAGAAGCAGGAACTTGAGGTTGTGATTGCGGATAAGAGCCAGCAGGAGGAAGTGGTTGGTGAGATTGTTGAGGAGCAGATGCAGCTTGCTTCACAAAATCCGTAAGCATAGCGCTCTGAGTTTCAGATGGTTGGTCTGCCTTGGACACCTGCAGCTTCCCAAGCTGCAGCTGTGCTTCCATTACTTCTTGCTTATCCTTTACAACTTGCACACCTGTTTGCACCTGCATGTGGTTGACACAAAAAATGAATGCAATAAAATGATTAAAATGACAAATATACATAGTTTAGCACACAAAATGGACATTAGCAAGGATGTTAATGATACCTAGTGTCCTTGACATGATTTCCATTTAATCGCTTACATTAATATCAACAACCTATACACCTACAGTTTGTAGGCTAAGCAACTAGGTCCAGAACACTTGACTAGTGCATCTTCGATACCAAGATGGTATTGGAACATTTTCCCCATAGCCCAGATATTATCATCAGGTAGCAGAAGAAAAGAAGGAACTTTTGTATATAAAAAACATGCTCCTAGATGAATTTGGAAAAGAAATACCACAACACAACATTTGCTTTAGAAAGCCAACATTAATACTTCTCATTCAACAAAGGAAAGATTAATATTGACAACAGGAAAAATAATTGTTCATCTTTCAACTAAGGAATAATCAAGGGTCTCCAGTCTCCTAGTCTCCTTCATTTTTGGATTCAGAACTAAAAATATCCTTGGAAGAAGCAAAAAAGATAATGCTGATCTAAAATGTCTAAGCCAAGCTCAAGCCACCATATGAGGAGCTACTTTAATTACAAAGTCAAGATACCAAGCTCAGCTGACTAACTAACATCAGTTCAACTTAAACACAAGCTTATCATCTCTCAAGCAGCATTTGAACCAAAAATATAAGCTTTAGAATACTCAAACCAAGTTCATCTACACTCATACATGAATAACCTGAGAAGTTTTCATCTTTTTCCATTTGTAAAAATAGTAGTTAGCAATAGTAGAAAAAAAAAAAAATACCTCTCTCAATATATTCTCCAACTGTCTCATTTTCCCATCCATGCTTCCCTGACTGTTACCAACTGATACCTTCAAATCATCCACAGAGTCCTCAAGCTCACGGGTTCTGGTCTCCAGCTGCGTCAGCCGCGCACTGACTCCTTCCAACACATGCATCAAACTGTCAGAATGTTTCTTCATTGTACGATCAATCTCAGCCACCATCCCCATGTCGACAGCATTCCGATCCTTCTCGAGTATCTTTGCAGGTTCAATAGAATGAAGAGAACCATACTTCTGTAGGCAATGCAGTTAATTATCATGAATAGAACACCAAAACAACCGAGAAATTCGCACACCCAAAAAGAGAGACTTAAGAAAAAAAATGGGGTTTTAGGTTTACCGTGGTTTTAGAATCAACAGAGCTCCAAATCCTAGAATTGGCCGATCCCCCAATACCAGAGACCTCGTCGAGGTTGTTGGTGGAGGGTCTGATGGGCTGAAAATCGTAGCTGGGGAAGATTTCATCCATCTTAATCCCATTATCCACAACAGCAATGGATGTAGTTTTGCTCGGATTCCCGTGATCACCTTCATCCTTCGTATGGCTCATCAGATCCATGAAATCTTTGCCAGAGATGCTATCGTTCGACGAAGACGATGCCGTCAGGTCCATTATTTGCTTGTCCATAAACTGCGACGCATTCATCGACTGGAATTCGAAAATTGATTCTGAAACTTTTGAGGGGAAATCGAGGTTTTGGAGACTGGGATGAAATTGGAGACTTTAGTAGGGAGGAAGTTTGATTGACTCTTGCAGAAGGCAAACTCAATTTCTGGGTTACCGTGGGAACAACCGAAATGCGAACGGGTTCACGTCGTCGGCTCGTTGATTAAAATTCTTATTTACCCTACGTCGTCGTAATGATATTGGCCCCGGATAGGACTAGCAAATACCTCTGTCAGGCCTAACGGACTTCCAAGTTAAAAGTCATGTTTGGTGAATACCGTAAAAGTTTTAGCTTTTTATCACTATATATATTTCATAAATTTATTTTTTTTTAATTTATATTTTTAATTTTTTTTAATTTTAAAAAAATCTTAAATAGTAAAATTTGAAAAATTTTAAATTTGTATTTTTTATAAATTTTTTTTATTTACTTCTTATTTACTTTTTTTTTATTTTTAAAAATAATTTTTAAATTTTTTTTATAATAAAAATTTAAACTTATCACTCATAAATAATAAAAAAAATAAAAGCTCTTACAAGTTTCACCAAAAGCTCTTACAAACTTCACTAAACATGCTCTAAATGTATCACTAAACACCTTACCATCCCAGTTATGCTCTTTTATTTAATTTTAGTTAAATATTATTTTTTAAAAAATTAATAAAATGACTATTAAAAATTTTTTGTACACAGTTTTAATTAAGTATCCTATTTGATAGAAAAAATTTAACTACTGTTTATATATTATTTTAAATTTTCATATAACAAGAAGTTATATGACATTTTAAGAGATGTTTATTTTAATTTTATATTAACAGTTATTAATTGTTGACTTTAATAAAAGTATAAAAATACTAATTTAAACAGTTTATTACTCTTTTTGGTAGACATAAAGTTCTAATAAGAAAACCCTTCTTCAATCATTTTACATATCATACTCACAAAGTTATTACACTAACTTAAAATTTTTTTTATTAGAAAAAATTATCACTAATTCATTTGTTCACCAGTACAAAGAGTGGTAAAATAGAGGGCTTTAGACTTTGAAAGCATGGTGGAGCTGAGGAAATTCCTATGAAACTCAAAAATATACAATTTTGAGAAAATTTCACGAGAGAAAATAATGGTAATGATAATTATTTTTTATTATAGTTTAAACTTAAAATCCTTAATTATTACCTTAATATTCCAACATTCTTCTAAGTTCTAAAAGCCCAACAAAAAAAAGGGGCTAATCAATCTTCTGTAGCTTAAAACAAGTACTCTACTGTGGATAGTCCAGACTGACTAGACCATGGCAAGTGAACAACAACTACTAGTCCTTCGTAGTTAAATGCGACGTCGTTCCCATCAACCTTGCAAGCTCTCGGTTTCTCTGATGCATACATCTTCATTTCGCCGGTTCCCTTCACTCCGATCCGGACCCAACTCTGTGACCCATCATAGGCCACTGATTGAATGGTGCCACCGCAGTTGAGCATGTTCACCAGGCCGATGGGTGCAAACTGGATGGATTTTCCGGGCAGGATTGTCACTGGGGAAACTGTAATGAGCTCGAAATTGAAGGGCTCCAGTGCGATTTCGACGTTGTCGGTTGGTTTTGAGAGGACAAGCTTCTTCGCCTCGGAGAAGTAGAGAGCGAACACTTGGACGCCTTCGACCGAGATGGGGTTC